GACAGTAATACAAGGTGAACTAGAGGATTCTTTTAACAAACTTTGGAGTTATTGTCTTGCAATTCAAAAGACTAATCCAATGACAAGTTGTATTGTTAAACTTAGTGACTTGGAAGATCCAGTAGGAAGAAAGAGGTTTTTAAGAATGTACATTTGTTGGGAGGGTTATAAATATTGTAGGCCTATTGTGGGAGTTGATGGTTGTCATCTGAAGGGGAAAATGGGGGGCCAGTTATTGACAGCGGTAGGAGTTGATGCTAATGATGGTATATTCCCTTTAGCTTATGCAATAGTTGAAGGAGAAACAAAGGATTCATGGATATGGTTTTTAGAGCTTCTTAAAAAAGACTTGGGGATTACAGAAGGAAATGATCATGAGATAACTTTCATCTTTGACAAGCAAAAGGGATTAATTCCTGCATTTCATAATGTTATACCAACAGCAAAACACAGGTTCTGTGTTAGACACTTACATGGAAACATGAAAGTTGCTGGGTTTCAAGGAAAAGCCATCAAAGATGTTCTTTGGGATGCAGCTAGAGCTACTACCATAAATAGTTTCAAATTAGCATTGAGAAAGATCAAGGAGTTGGATGTGAAGGCTTTTGAATGGTTGTCAGATAAGCATCCTAGTGAATGGTCAAGATCTCATTTCTCTTTTACTGCCAAGTGTGATATGTTGGTAAATAAAGGTTGTGAATGCTTCAATTCAATGATTTTAGAAGCAAAGAACCAACATTTGATTTCATGCCTTGAGATTATAAGAAAACAAATCATGATTAAGCTCTTTAAATGTAGAAGGCAAGCCACTAAATGGAACACTCCAATCTGTCCAAGAATTCTTGAAAAACTTGAGGCGAATGAGAAGGCAGCAGGGGGATACTTGGGATACCAGTGTGGTGAACAATTGTTTGAGATTAGAGGAATGTGGGAAGATCAACGCGAAGTTGACTTGGGGGACTAGGACTTGCAGTTGTAAGAAGTGGGATCTCACGGGAATCCCATGCAAACATGCTATTTGTGCAATTTGGTTGAAAAATGGCAAAGGACCAACTTATCAATTTGTAAGTCCCTTGTACTCTATTGATACTTATTTGAAGGCATATGCAGGTTGTATCAATCCCATGTCTGGCCATGAAGAGTGGCCAATGACAGATAGGGAGCCACCACTTCCTCCCTTGTACACAGCAAAACGCGAAAGGCCAAAGAAACAAAGGAAGAGGGGGGCAGAAGAGCTCATCAAAGATGGGACAAGACTATCAAGGGGTCAAATTAGACTTCATTGCACCAAATGTAAAAAAGCAGGCCACAATGCAAGAAAGTGTCCACAAGATCCCAATATTAGAGAAAGGATGGCAAGTTAATCCCTTGAACTTTGTTGTATATAACTTATAGTAATTCTATATATAGTTTTTGTCATTATTAATGTTGGGTAAATTTTGTTTCTTTCATCAGCTCAATCCAAAAAAAGAGGATTAGAACCAAGAACTCTACACAAACTGAGCTATCAAATGCAAAGGGTGATATTGGAAGAGAAAATCTAAGGCATGCAGAACATGTAATTCCAGAACCTCCAATAGTAGATTCATCAATGCCAGAATTGTAGAGAATTCTAAGGCTGAATAAATAGCAATGAACTGCTGGGAGTTGATTGAAGCTTATAAGTTTTAACATTCAGATTCAATGATTTTATCAAGCTTATAATTTAGTTTTTTTTTTTTTTTTTTTTTTGGTAGTGAAAAATTTTAATTCTTTGAAATGTCAATGGAAAACTTTTGTTTAGAATGTTATAGATTTAATACAAGATGATTTTTTCTCCTTTGTTCTTGTCAATTCAAATGTATTTGAAATATGAGGAAAAAACCCAACATATTATTATGTTAATACAATTGAGAAAAGCAGGATCATGAAAACTTCACTGAGTTCCTGCTGGTCATATTGTGATAAAGGTAAAGGTAAAGGCAAATGGGTTCTCATAACAGTGCAGAATTTGTAGGTTCTGGTATGCTGTGTAATATTTTCAATTGTTCTGATAGGTTTTGATTTTTCTCCTAATTTTCTGGGGTTTTAATATTTTGATAACATCACTAAAAAACCTCGTACACTGAGCTCCCTAAGTTCCTGGAGATTTTGATTCTTTTTAAATTTAGCATAGAGAGTTACGGAGGGGGGAAGTAAAAAAAGTAATAATAATAAAAAAGAGAATAGCGCAATTTTATTTTTTTTTAGAGAGAAAGGAGGAAGTCTAATAAAAAAGATGAATTTTAATATGTATTTGAGACAATTTATTAAATTACATTATTGACCTTATTCTTAACGGTAGATTAACGGAAATTTTAACGGAGGATCAATATTGGCAATCAAATTAAAGTCGAGGATGTACTATGGCAAAATTAAAAGAGTAGGACTAAATATGGAAATGCCACATTAGTCGAGGACTAAAAATGGAATTTACTCTTAAATTTTCAAGGGTTAAATATGTTGGTTATAAAACAGTAACCGTATATGTTTAAATGATTCGACCAGCAAATCTTTTAAGAATTACAGTTATTACTATTATTACATTTATTATATTATTCTTACTGTGTGTGCATTTTGCTATAATGATGTTTGCGGTAGGAATGTACGAATAACATTTCCAGTCTATGCAGTACGGTGTTTAGGTCTGTGCACATAACATTTATTCGGTATTTTTGTTTCAAGGTGTTTTTCTTGTTTTTGTTATTCAGTTACCTTTTTTTAAAAAACGCCCGTGTGTATGGTTTTTTTTTTTTTTTAAATCGCTTTGTGGTATTGTTGGTGTGTTTGGATACTCTTTCATAATTTATGTCTATTGCGTTACCTTTGTCTCGTTATTTTCATTGTTGCGAACGATGCTGAGGTGTTTGAATCCCCGCCTGGTGCGGGTTCGTCTATTGTGCATCTAGGTGAACAAGTCCACCCCGTTGTGGTTTCGACCACTGTTCCAGTTCAACCACCCTTTGTCGGGGTGCAAAGTGGGTCTCCCCCAGTTCCTCCGGTCGCGGAGGTGGTTATTCCGTCTCTTAATACTCGCGCATCTCCCAAGCATTTGGTGTCGCAGTTTAAATACTTTAGTGCTTGCCAACGTAAAGAAGTGAAGCAAATTGGCTTGGGGGAATTGTTGAACTTTGAGGTGGAAGATTTCCACAAGCGGTTGACTCGGTGGCTGTTGGATTAGTTTGATTCTTCAAACATGTGTGTGCGTTTGGCGAATGGTGCACTACTAACTGTCACAGAGAATGATGTCCATGCCACTTTGGGGCTGCCCCGTGGAGGTGTTGCTATTACCAAACGGCTTAAAGACGATGTTAGCGACACTCTCAAAGAGTGGTGTTCCAAATTCGAGGTTTCGAAGCATTCAGTGACGTTGGCTAAGATAGGGGACATGTTGCGGACCCCGGCTTGTTTGGAGGGTGATGTTTGGTTTAAACGTCACTTCGCTGTGTTGGCCGTTAGTATTTTTGGGTCCCCGATGAAGAATGGGTATGCCAATCAGCTTGTTTTCCACCATTTTGAAGATGTGGATGAGATAAAAAATCTAAACTGGTGCAAGTTTGTGTTGGACTGTTTGGTGGAGGAGCACGCTAAGTGGATTGTTGACCCGTCTAAGCCATTCTCGGGGCCTGCTCTGATGTTGTTGGTATGATATTCCATTCAGTACTTGACTTTTGTGTTAGTCGTGTGCGTGCATTTGTGTATTATGTGCAAGTTACTAATGCGTTCCCGGGTTTAGCTCCTTTATGTTGACAGGGTTGTGCAGTCGGACAGGGTCGTTCCTCGGGCGTTCCCTTCATTTAGAGGTTGGACTACGGGTCTCCTTAAGGCTCATGAGCTGGCTGGGGTGGGGATTGAGAGGTTTGGTGTTGGGAGTATAGTTGGGGCTTTTGTTCCTCCAGTTGTTCGTAGTGCTCCACGTGTTTCTGCTCGTGCTGCCCTCCAGGTCTTTTTTCCTTATGCAATTATTGGTCCTCTAGTTCTTGGGGTTGTGTCCGTCTGTGTTTTGAATAGTCGTTGCTTGTGTGTGGTAGCTAAATGTTTTTTTATGCTTGTTTTTATTGTTGTTAAACCTTGTTCTCGTTTTATTTTCCAGCATGATGACGCTCTTCGTTATTCTGTATCGGCTGGGGAGTCTGGTGTTGTTAAGGTATTCCCTCCCTTTTTTCCCACTTCCCTTGTTTGCGGTTTCCCAATAAGTGTATGCATTATATCACTAAGTGTGTGCAACCTAAGGAATCAAGTATCTTGTGGTCTTTCTGTGTTCGTGATTTTTTCCGTATTTGTTCATATGTTACTCGGGTACATTCTTCATACTGTGTGCGTGTTTGTCCACTGGTGCGTGCGGTTTATGATAGCTTATGTTATGTCTTTTTCTTTTAACTGAAGTCTGTGCACTGATTATATGGGTACTTTTGTTTATGTTTTTTTTTTTTTTTTTTTTTTTTTTTGGGATAAAGGCATTTGTTTATAAAAATCCGGATGTGTTTCATATTGGGTGTTTATTTGAGTCCTTTTTTTTTTTTTTTTTTTGGAATAAAGCCCGTTCTATTTCAAATGGCGGATGCGTTTCAACTTCGGTGTTTATTTATTTTTTTGTTCCCTTAATTTCTTTTTTTTTTTTGTTTGTTTGGCCCATTTTATAATAACTGTCTCAGTTGGAATGGGGCAGGCGCAAGTGGGTGCGGTACGACCCTAGGTCTGTGCGAACTAATCAATCAAGTATCTTGTGGTCTTTCGATGCTCGTGTATTTTTTTTCTTCCATTGTTTTATATGTTACTCGGTTACACGCTTCTTATTGTGTGTGTTTCTATACGTTGATTCGTGCTGATCTTTTGTAGTACATGTTATGCTTTTCTATTTTTTAATGCAGTATGTGCTCTGGTTTACGAGTCCTTTTACTTTTTCCTTTGTTTTTTTTTTTTTTTAAATAAAGGCCGTTGTGTTTAACATGCTATTGCATTTCAAATGCGCTTGTATTTTCTTTGTTTTTTATTTTTCTGGCCATTTTATAATACTTGAATTCGTTGAAATGGTGCAGGCTCCTGGGGATTGTTTGTTGTGAAGATGGGCGCATTAGACGCTGCGTTGGATGATGTTGTGCAATTCATTGGGATTCACCCTCAATGCTCGACCCGCACAAATAGCGTTTTGCTTGTATTATCCGATGCACGGAAGATTATTTCTTTGTTTGAGAACCATGCATCTACAGAGCCAGTTTGCGTTGCAAATACGGGCGGTGCCACGCCCAATAGTGGAGATGAGATTTGGAGTAACCCAGAGAGCTTTCAGGTTGTTGATGAAGCGGTTAGGGCGGTACATGATGATAACCATCGCCCAGAAGTTCCACATATGGGGCCATGTGTTGTTGAGGAGCAGGTTGGGCCTATTATTGATGATGTCGGAGGTGTGCCCCCCCAGCATGATCGGCTGTCTGTGCAAGTGCCATCGGGGGTCGTGTGGTGGAATCCCAAGTTGCTGTAAGTATGATTGTGTACAAGCGCAGGAAAGTTAAGCGGTTGTAAGATGTATGTGGATGGTATACACTTATTTTGTGGCTACACCTACTAGTGACCTTTTTTTTTTTTTTGTTAACTTGGGTATGTTAGTTGTCTCGCATGGTACTGTACTTTCTATGTGGTGCAGATGTGTTGTATAACAGTTGGTCCTACCTTACTAACTGCTAATGGGCAGTAATTTTTGGTCTTTCGCACATACATTATACTTGTTATGCACGCACTGCTCATTTTATGGATCTTTCTGCGTTCATTAGGGATGTGATGACGTTTCTTCGTTCAGTCTTGGGTTGTCCCAAGATCTCCCTACCCAATGTTGGGAGGAGGTGGATGCAATTGTGCGCGAATATGTGGGTGATACTTCAAATGTTTCATGCGGGGGTAGTAGGTCTGCACCTTGTGTACCTGTAAGTATTAATGTGGATGCCGTTTTGTTATCAGTATACCCGTTTTCGGCTCACAATTATTCCATCAATCTCAATCCTTTCTGTTCCACAACCATGTTGGTAATAGGTGCGTGCGTTGGAACACCAAGTCTCGGGTGCTCCAAAAGCACTGTCCGTTGGGGTTGCCGTTATGGACGAGGTCGTGAGTGCACGTGGGCGGGGTGTAGGTAGTAACACCTATCAGCATGTCTTTTCAACTCCACCTGAGGTATCGTTTTGTCTCCCTGGTTGCTTTTTCCCCAAGCCTTTTTTAATTGTTTTATATATATTCATTCATCCCTGGTTTGTTTTCATATCGTAGCAAAACACTATGCTCGGTCCGTGCAAGGGCGTGGTATCCAGTTCGTCGATGTGTGCGGCACCAATCAAGGCTTCACGCCCTATAGTGCAGGATGTCGGTGCTTTGCGCACCATCGATTTAAATTCTTATGCGCCCCTCACGCGTACTCGTGCTGCCAATATGCATGTTGCCAATAATATTGATCCTCAAGCGGTTTACGATTGGGTTGCTCGTACTGCTAATGTTGACCTGTAAGAATTTTCGTTTTATTACATTTGGTCTTTCGGGGTTCCGACGTATTATGATTTTGAATTTATTGCTTCTAATGTTACAGGACGGCAGAATTATTTAACTACTGTGGCCGTTCTGCTCGTCGGTTCGACCTTGTGTCATTGTTGGAAGGGAACCAAGTGCTTGTGGGTGTGTTGAGTGCTTGGTCATCCATTTTGAATGCCCGTGAGAGGACCAAGCCGGTTGGTGCACCAAAGCGGTTATTTGCATCCCCAACCACAACGGTTAGCCCATCCTCGCCTTTTAGGTCGTGTCTTTTTCCCTTAGAAACCGTTTCATTTCGATACTAATATTTTTTATCGTGCAGTTGTACTCGGTGGTTCAAATTACGGCCGCATGGTCTCACCGGTTGGGTTGGTTTTCTGCTGCGTTAGAGGCCGATTTGCAGGTGTCACCGTATGAGTTTTGGTCCGATATTGACATGGTTAGTGCAATCTCTAATCCATTCATTATTTTGCATTAGAGATTTCTCTATATGTGCCCATTTGTCTAGTGATCAGTGAAATTGTTTTTTAATTTTGGTGTATACGCTACACGTTTTTTTGCAGTTGATCTTTTCGATAATAGATAGGTCGCATTATTATGTCGTTGCTGTTGACGTTCGGCGCCTGAAATTTGACTTCATCCATAACTCATTTGTAGGGGAGGGGGGGGGGGTATCACTTGACAAGTACGGGGATACCCCTTTTGTGTTGGTATTTATTTGTCCTTCTACTTTGTTGGTGTTTTACTTTTAAACTAATGGCGCATCGTTATATACTAGTCATCATTGTATTCATTTGGCGTTTTGACCATTTTTTTTACTTTATACAGAGAGATGTTCTATCGGTCATTTTTGAGGATGCTAGTTATCCAGATCTTTACGTAAAGGTGTTGCAACTAATCCCAAGGAGAGTCTGAATGTCATGGCGCGATACAAAAAACAAGGTGGATTGTGGGGTTTTTGCCATGCGTCATATGGAGACGTACATTGGTCAGTCTATTGCTTCCTGGGATTGCGGTCTTAGTAGGGGTGATGGACATGCGTTGCTCTCCCTGCGTGTGCGGTATATCTATGAAATTCTTATGTTTCATAGAAACACACGTCGCCAAGTGATTGTCAACAGTGTTGGTGGTGCCCAGTGAATGGAAGATGTATTACTGGCAGTTGTTTACCGCATCTACATTTTTTGCGTACATTTAAGTTTTGGGTGTTGTCAAACAGTTGGATATTTTGCTGTGTGCGCTAACATTATTCGTACGTGTTCCAATAATTAACTCTATTTCGGTTAGTATGGTATTCCGTTGCTTATGGTGTCCGTACATTCTACTATTCATGCACAAGCACTGTGCAGCTAATTGTGAACGTTTCTGTCTACATTAGTAGTGCATCTACCACTCTATAAAAAGTCACACAACCAATCGCCATTAAACAAAAACCCTAAAATCGCACAAATGTCTGCACGGACCTATATTCAAAGCTGCACAGTACATTTCATTCCCATATTTTGTAATTCCTTTCTGCGCACTGGGTGACGCATTTAACTAAGCGTCCCTTATGCTAACTTTGTAACTATGGAAGCGTTCATGGGCAATCCCCACGTTTGCTCCGAATCTAACATTAACTCGCACGCACTGCCCAAAACACACTTAGAAATTAAAAACCATTTACAATTTAACAACTACGTATTTTTTTTTTATCAATTCAAAGGGTCCATTTACATATGTTACCGTTTTCAAATACTTTATTTATTTCATTTTTAATATAGCATTTAGTATTGTTGTGAGTACATGGTATACGAATGCTCATGCTCCGACTATAACATTCGCTTGCACACGCTATCAAACACTAACAAAGTTTAGTTACTCTTTACTTAAAAATTTTCATAGTCGTTAGGCATTTACATTTTAACACCTCAATATTTTCCTAATCTATTCGAACGTTCCGTTTTCTTATTTTGGCGAATTCACGTAGTTTATTAATTTTATTTTTTATATTGCTTTTTTAAACCCTGATAGTGCATGTCTATATCGGTGCTCATGCTACAACTATAACGGTTACTCGCGCTCGCGTCGGAACAATCACAAAATTTATAAACTCTCTATTAACATGTTTTCAAATACGTTCTATAATTTGAAATTTAACATCAACATATTCTCCTTATTTATTCAAACAATCCATTTCCGTTATTATCCGAATTCTGGGAGTGTATTCTTTTCATTTTTAATTAAACTCTATTCAACTCCTGTTTTAAAATCGAGTTTTTTACCACCGAAGTCCATGCTAGTATCAATGCGAATGGTATCACAAATTCATGCACAAACCAAAGGGAATTGATTACTCTTAACGCGCAATGCACACAGTTACCAGGATATTTGCACATCAGCTGCCCATAACATTTAACCACCTTAGAATCTCAAAAAATACTCATTATTCAAACGTTTGTACTTCTATTTAATAATTAATAACGGACAAATGGTTTAACTACTTTCGTGGGCAGCTTCGGCTATTATGGCCATCGGCCAGTCCACATATTTTCCATGTGCATTTTTTCTTATAATGCTCCATCATTGCAACCTCCCTTGCTGATTTCATTCGTTTTCCAGACCCTTTGGTTTTTGCTACGGGAGGTGGATGCACTTCTATCGCCTTTGGTGCTACGACACTGCAATACGACTCCATTATTGCACGCTTCCCACTTTCATTCACCTCGTGTTCTTCATCCTCCCCAAATGTCGCTTCAAACTCTTCCATGCACAGTCTCATCTCCTTCATTTTTTCGGGTCTTCCTTTAGCCTTGCCCAAACATCTATGAAATATATTCATTAGTTGTCCTTCCTCATTGTTGCCGTGCGGCAAAGTATTGTTACCATTCTGTTTATCTCCGTCCCTATCAATGGGGGAGTGCTTAACAGCTTCTCGTGTCCATCGGGGTGTTATATGTTGTGGGGGGATGTCATCGATACGTTCATCTTTGAGTACGACAAAAACATGGCTACAAAGGAGACCAATTCTTGCGTACATTTTGCATGTGCATGCTATGTTTCTCCCATCATGCACTATAACTGTGTATCGTTGCTCGTTTTCATCCTCAACCACATATGTCTTCAACCCTTCTGCCTCGGTGAATGCTCGAACTCGACATTTAAAACACCCGGCACTTATTTTCTTTTGGACCTCATAAAAAATAGTCAATGTGTACACTGCTGCTGCTGATCGCTCAATGCGTAGTAGTGTCTCAAAAACTGGGGTATGTCCGATGCAACTTGCGCTTAGTTCTAGGTTGTTCTTCCGTTGTTTTCTTACCGCACGCTCGAAACGGGTGAAAAATTCTACAAGGCATAAGTGTTTGTTCATGTTACCCTGGAAAATCCTATTCTCCGCCTCTGAACGGGAAGTGGTACGTAGTAGCCCACCCATGAACATGTCATCAAAAAATGCGGGCACCCATGACCCACGCTCCTCGTACATACGGGTTAGCCATCGGTTTCCATGTAGGCTGTATTTTCCAATTACTGTTTTCTACCCAATCTCGAATTCTGTTCTCGTTGATTTCTCGTTCCACACAACACTATTCAATGCCCTTCGGAACTCATTATTCTTTGAAATCTCAGCTCCCACTTTCTCGCTAACCTTAGTCATTATGTGCCACATACAGTAACGGTGTCGGCTACCTGCAAGCACATCTGCGATTGCAATCTTCATAGCTGGGTCTTGATCGGTTATTATTATAGGTGGTGCAGTCCCCATTGCGTTCTTGAAGTGTTTTAGTACCCAACTGTACGACTCCACGTCCTCCTTATCAAGTAGGGCCGCTGCAAACGTCGCACATCGTTTGTGGTTGTCTACTCCTGTGAATGGGACAAAAACAAGGTGGTACCTGAATCCAATATATAGCAATTAATCGGCCGTCAAATATTTGGCAAAATAATTCAAGCGCAAACATTTCAAACACATGCAGAGACCTACTGTAAAGCTCGCACACGATACACACACACGCACAGACCAACAACCCATGCACAGACTGCTCTTTAATTACATTATACATAGTTATGCAAAGATACCCGCACCGTGCCACTTAAGAACTAACGTACACACACGCACAGACCCAATGCACATCATACTCTTTATTTTCTGTATACGTCGTTACCCAAAGATAACATCATCCTTCGACACAAGTTTAAATTTACGCACCTATCTATTTAACTTAACTCTCTCATACCTATTTGTTTTGTACGTTGCATCAAAGGATACCACGTCGCCAAACCACCGTAGTTTTTCCTTGCCATACCATCCGCCCAGAAGACACGAGCTAATTGATCATTTGCGTTCACCTCGTATTCGAAGTACATATCAACACAATCTGTTTTCTGCTCAAGATAGTTTGAAATAACCATTTGCACATCTCCCCACTTCATGTACGCTAATAGCTCTCTCCGGTAATTCTTAATGTCCTGTTGCGTCGCACCCACGTTCTCCAGACCACCTACCATCTCGGCATATATATCGAAACTTTTGCTTGCACCAACGTTCGCTTTTTTTGCAGTTAGTAATGAATTCTTGGTGTGCAATCTCCAATTTTCGATTGACTTTCATAAATGGTTTGTAGCTTTCCTCGCACAGACAGTGTGTGTGTTTTTCTTCGAATTTGTGAACCTTATATCTCCCGTCGCAAAGTATCTTCATTACAATCTTAGCGCCGCAACCAACTCGATTAGTGGTCCGACGTCGTTTCTTTTCCAAACTTCCTCCTTTACCCAATATTTCTTTGCCCTAGTCTCCTTAAACCCTTGCTGCGAACACACTACATCCTTTTTCAAAACAATACCAAAATTGTTCTTTTTATCCGAACTTCGACGCACATCAAATCCGGTTGTTGCAGCATACTTCATATAAAATTGGATTCCATCTTCCAGTGTATTAAACATTTGGCCTTCATATGGTTTCAGGCTGCGGTCGCATTCCGTATACCAATATTTCGTACATCCAGGGCTTATATCCATTCTGCAATCTTTTTCTGATTCGTTTGCATCGGTGGCCTTTGCACTGCACACACCTGTAACATATGTTTCATTAGCATATACATAGTAAACCACATGTCATCGTTTTATCATCAAAATAAAAAATCTTCGTATGGGTTTTTAATTGGTTGCACATGCTCAGTAACTGCGTCGCATTTTCCCAACGCAACCCTTGCACTTGTATAACCCCTAGCATGCACAGGCCATGAATATAACGTCCATAACACGTGTTACTTACAAGTCCTGGCTTAGTAAATCCCTCGCAAAGGATGAAGTATTTTTTTTAATAAAAACAAATAAAAAAAAAATAAACAACACGTATACACCACTAGTGATGAACAAAAATTGATATACAGGGGAATTAAACTAACATTGCACAAAGAAAACAACTCTCCCCAAACCCAACACATACCATATATGCTCTAATTCGTAAATGTAATCAAGAGGATAACCCAAAATAACCTATGTACACACTCCACCCAAATAATGCTAACAAAACAAAACCAATCAAAAATAACTTTTTCACCACCACATTATTGAAAACAAACATTGGACATTTGCACACTCCGACATTATATATCGCACAAACCCCTGACGAATTACTATCCGGGGGAATAAACAAAAAAAAAAAAAAAAAAAAAAAAAAAAAAAAAAAAAAACCCGCCAACTTTCGATTCGCACAACACCCCATCAACACATCAACACCACAAACAAAACCTCCACGCCAGTTAAAAACAAAAACACAAAAAAAAAAAAAAAAAAAAAAAAAAAAAAACACACAATCAATAAACAAAAAACAAAACCCCCACTTTATAAAATATTCGCGATAAACGCCTTCCTCATGCACTCATTAGACACTCACGCTTCGAACTGCACTAACCTGCACACTACGGTATCCCGACGCATAGACTCATCATAATATATGCACACAAATCAAAAAGCCTATAACAGTTCGAATAATGATGCACATACCTATTTCCGTTTGCACCATCACTGTGGCTGTTGATGTGAAACAGCCACTGCACCTTGAGTTTGTTTGGCGAATGCGTTCAGGAATCACCAGAATATCAATAGTAATATATTACCGTTAATAAAAAATCCAATCCCATAATCAGTTGATGCTTAGCATGGAATATATTCTAATTTATTTGTAACCATAAATAGCTATTATATTACAATTACTTATTCACCCTTATGCATAAACTATTACCTTAAATGGATAAAATATCTATTTCAATCTCACCCTTAAATATGCAATGATCTAATGGATATGATGAGATCTTATAAACTCATCCATCTATGTGACCTCATGGGATCCGGAGCCTCTATATATATATATATATATATATATATATATATATATATATATATATATATATATATATATATATATATATTCAAATAAGCACTTCAAAATATATCAATGCAATATTATATAAGAGATGTTCATGCTTAGGTACTTGAATGTTGAATGTTGAATTTATTTATTTAAATCAGTAATTCAAAGTATATAAATGCAAGATAATATATGAGAGAATGATTATAATTGTCAACTAAAATAAATGTTTGCATCTTTGTAATAACGCTAGTCTAAAAGCGATAGTCTAAGTAAATACTACTTTTGATTTAAATTTCTCTAAGTCTTCCTAGTTCTCTTTTGGGTAGCATTTTCATTGTCTTCATTTTCAGTACATGTCATGTATGTCTTCTATTTTTTTATTGGTAGTATGTTATGTACAATGAGATTATGGTGTTGGAAGTTTTAGATCTTGCTTGTTGTGTATATGACTGAGATCTTTTGTATTATAACTTATTTTGTATTATATATAACTTTGATATTTAATTACAAGATAATGTAAAAAGAAGACAATGGGCAATGTAGTGGATATAAGTAATGAAGTTGAAGGTAAGGAATCTTTAGATTGGATAAAATAAATATAATATAACGATTGGAATTATATCTCTTTTAAAATTTTTTATAATGAATAATTTTTTTTTTGAATAATGTCATTATAGACATTTAATTCTAAATTAATTAAATGCATATGTATTATTTTTTTGTTGTAGATACCAATTTATTTAATTTAATAAGAGTAATAAAGTGACGTAGATACTTTTCATATACAACATTAAAGTTATTGCTTTTTTTTTTTTTTAATTTCCATTCGTTGCTGAAACAAATTATTTTGGGAGTTTGTCAATAAAAATTGCTACAATTACTGTCAATAGATGATGATAATAAATAATTCGAAAATATATGGTTACAATAGATATTGTTATAATGATATAATAAAAATTAACTTACAAATTTTTTTTAGAAGCTTTCGTACATTGATAAAATTCTAAGAATGATTCAATTTGAGTCAGTGGGATGTAACATTGTCAATTCTTTGGAAAATTGTCCTATCGTTTTAGAATTCATGTGTGATTGTATTTCTTATCAACAACTTTGTAATTAGGTCGCACATGTCTGACAATGATGTAAGAATAATTTTGTCCAATACAAAAAGGAATAAGGGTCAAATTGGCCACTGAACGTAACGCGATAGTGCAATCAGACCACTGAACCTAAAAAACGTGCAATTACCCCACTCAACAGCACAAATCCTCTCAATTTCACCTATTAGCCGGTTCCAGCCCTTCTTTCCGGTTGCCATGATGATGTGGAATCTGACCTGGCATTTTATTTCCTCTCCTTTACTTTTTTTTTTTTTCTTCCTAGTCTTCTTCTTTCTTCCATTGCATGCTATTCTCCTTCTTCTTCGACAACAACAATAGCTAAAAGATCAGGCGGTGTTAATTAGCTACCTTTAGCGTTCTTCGTTTTTCCGGTGCACATTCGGCCACCCACCTGGAGTTTGATGGAACAACCTCTGCAACTCCCAGATTACTTCTATCTAACAAATATACTTCTGTCTGCATTAGAAATCCAAAAAATATATAAAGAAAACAAAAAGAGCAAAATATGCAATGATGATAAATCTTGATTGCAAATCTAAACATCTACACCGACGGTGAAAATATCGTTATATATGATTTATGGCTTTTGGCAGCAAAAAAGATTGATCATTGCCTTTTCATCCTTCCCTTTGGTTAATTACTCCGCTTTGGCTCTTTACACTCATTCCCAAAAAAAGATCGCAATTCACAGCCAACCCAGCCACCTTCTTAGGAACCGTAGCGACGACGATTCTCGCTTCAGGAGGAGCTGGAACCATGCGCACAGTGACAGAGCCACATTTTCCGGTGACCTTGAGAGACGAGCCGACCAGAGTGTCGATGAACAAAAGCAGAGACGACACCACCCTCACCGCCATGATCTTCATCACCTCATCCTTGAGCGACAGGCCGACCAGAGTGTCGATGAACAGAAGCAGAGTCGACACCACCCACTTCACCGCCAAACTCAACCGCCCTCAGCGCCCCACATTCTCCGTCTCCTCCCTCAAG